GTCATATCTCCTCATGACCAGGTTTTTTTCTGGCCTTCTGGCTATATAATCTATACTAAACTTTTTTCAGGGCACTGATTGAAGCAGTATTACTGAAGGAATTCTAACACTAAAGTTTCCTGGTATCTTATGGATTTTTCCAGAACAAAACATTAGCAAGAGACCATTAGAGTTCCTCATGTTTATATTCTATGTGCTCTCAGAGTAGTGCTTTCATTACATGGCCTTCATTACATGGTACTTCTCTGCCTCTAAACTCTCTTGACCGAAAAGTGCTAAAACATTTTACCATCTCTGGATTTGCTTCTTTGCCCTTTTTAGAATTGGGGTGGGGTGGTTGCATTATTGCTTATTTTATATTTTGCCTCATAGAATTCAGGCTCTTCAGCATTTCAAGACTTTAATGTCCTTTTCCTCTGTGTGGCAGGACTTTTTTTTATTTCAGTGCTCACTGGAGTGTGCTTTCTGCTATGCTCTAGTGTCAATACTTGGAATCTTTTAATAGAACAGCCTAAGCACCTAATGCAAACATTTCAGCATTTAAAAAAGCTCAACTAAGAAAAGGAAAAACAAAGCTATGTCAGTGTTGTTGAATCTGAGCATCACTGTGTCTAAGCGTTTTGTTTGTGGTGGCCAGAGCATAATCCATGTCCTTGAGTTAGGCACTTGTAAGTGAATAGTGGGATGCAGAAATACAGCTGGTGCTTTAGCACTGCCTAATTTAGTTGCTTTTCAGGGTGTGTTATCACAAAGAGCATTTCACGCTCATGACAGTAGCGATACCTTGGGTTATGCTGCCTGTGACTGGAGGAGGGCTTTTGCTTTCTGTTATTTCACTTCTATATAAAATGAATTCTCTGGACTAACAGGGTGGGAGCATAGGAACGACTTACTAATTAAAAGGCTTGGACCTCCCCTTGGGAGGGAGGAGCCCTTGGTTCTGGTTTCTGCCTTATTTCTGAGCTCGTGGTATAATGAGTATCAAATACTCCTGCTTGTCCTTCAGTAACTTCAGTGAGTGAAATTTTTCTAGATAAAGCATTAATTAAAATGGAGATAAAATGGACTACTTAACCTTTCCCCATTCCATCTCACCTGACCCTCGCTAGCTCACACTTGCAGGTCATTAGGTTCAATTAAGTAAGTTGAAAAGTAATGATCAGGCACTTCCTAGGCCAGAACCTGTTAAGTTAGATACCTGCAAAGTAACAGAGTGACATTAGTGTTTGTCTAAAGCTGGAGCAGATGAGAACGACATGGAAGCTGACATATTTTCTGATGAACTGGGGTCCCACTGACATCTGTAAGATAGAATTCTGTCTTCAAATTAGAACAATATTCTATTCCCTTATATTTTATGCATTCTTTTGGGCTTTGATACTGCATTCCATTTTTGTTAGAAAGTGATTCCACATTAATGTGTTCAGCATATAAAGAGCTTGTTATACAGAGGTAATATTTTGGTTGGTGTTGTCAAAATGTATTTACATTTTTTCATATTTGTAGCAAATCTTAAGGGGGAAATGCATTTGGTTTTGTTCATTCATGGTTGCAGATAAAGGGATGTGACTGTATGTGTTCAGAAGTAAAACTGTCCAGCTCTGAGCTGTGACGAATTCTGCAACCGCTAGTGATGATGGGGAAAAGAAATCAACAGCCAGTCACCCACAAGCTACAATATGTGTCATGTCTTTTCACTGGGAATCTAATTGCCTTCTAGAGTAAGTTGTGACTACACTGAGCTTTACTCCCCACAGATAATCACTTTAGGCAGAATCCTCCGCATTGTGCAACATCATCTTACCAACATCCCAGTAATATTTTGGTGCTCTTTGAGAGGAGCAAAGAAATATTACCATTGCTTGTCACTCATCCATAAACTGGTGACAATTTGCAAGTGACAGCATGCAGGTCTAGTGGCAGAATGCTCAGCAGGACGTTTCTGGCACGTGTGAATGCTGTGAGTCTGTGATGTGGGCTCTGACTACAACAATATACACCAGGCACAGCTGGAGGAATTAGGTACAAGGTTTTGTCCATCTCCTAGAATTTCATGTTTGTTATTTGACACTGACCATGCTCTATAGTCTGACAATGAGATTAGAGGCCTTTTTGTAACTTTGAAAGGCAAAGATCTTGGAGACCAGATGAGATGAGATCATGAGTTGTATCTTTGCCATGGTTTTTGGCAGTATTTTGCAGAATTATTTTGCATATGAATTGTATCAACCCTCTCTCTCTTTCAGACTTTTATTTCAATGAGTACATGTAGAAGCTTGCCAGGAAGTCAAGAAGGTGTATCAGAGGGCATGATGTAGTTACATGTAAGTTCATTAACAACCATTTTGATTATTTACCTTAGTGGTGATGCTTATGCTGTTCCAGAGACTATTTTTTTTTGACTTGGTAGTGATCAAAGTATGTGTCATCAAATAATTAGGGGTAGTTACTACAACCATGAGCAAAAAGGTTTACTTCTTGCTCCAGACTGCAGGAAATTGTGAAAAGAAAATAGTAAAAAATAAAAATATCCCCAAGTGTTTTGACTATTCAGGCTATTGGATAGAGAAGGAGGAATACACTATTCTCCTGTGTGTGAAACATGGGCTGCTAAATATGCTTGCAAGGGCTTTATGTGTTTAGGCCTGCAGGTGAAAAAAACTTCAGGGGAATACCCTGAGAATCTAAGTAGATCTTGGGTTATTAAACAATTGAGAAGTATTAGGACAAAAGCAGTTTTATACCTTCCTGTTCCCAAAAACACAGGCCCAAGCAATGCCAGGCAGCAGCTCAAAGGAGGTTTTAGGAAGCTGGTAGCAAATAAATATCACTCAAGACTCCTAAAAGTAGCAAATGGATACCTGATCTTACTGATTTAGCCCCAAGTGCCTACCATGGCACTCAGTGAATGGTAGCCACAGACACATGGAGAAGTTACTGTGCTCTGGGGAAAACAGCAGGAATTCTGTCCTAACTACTGCCAAGGGCCTGCCATATGACTTCATACTTGCTTATGGTTTATTTCTCCTTCAAAAACAGGAAAAGGGGGATATTTCTGGACTTTTATCATGTTTCTCTCTCCCCAGGGGCAAGCAAGTTTTTGCAGTTTATCTTGGGGTAACGAACTGTACCTACAACAGTCAGAGAAGGAGAGAATTCATTTGAACAGGCATCATCTGTGTGTGCAGCTGCTGCATGCAGCTTTGTCATGTGTTCATAATGGAACTGTGTGGCATAAGGGTTTTGCAAATAGCTCTTAACATTTTTATGAAAACAGGTTGTATAGGTGGCGTGTTTTAAAACCATTCCTTGGTTCATCCCTAGGAGAGAATGTAGCAATTCTCCCCATGTGCTCCTGCTGTTTATCTTTTGCTAAACAGAGGAAAGCAGATTATGGCTTTTAAGAGCTAAGCTCTGGCTTTTCTGCAGGTCTGTGTGACGAGGGACATGTTGCTTTGGTGCCTTGAATGCAAAAATGCTTAGTTTAGAAGCATGTCTAAATAGGCTTAATACAAAGCTTCAAGAGTCATACAGGTAGCTATTTTAGTTCAGTTTGTTTGCCAAAATGACACATACAAACCAGAAGCAAAAAATGGCCATGCAGCCCTTTGTACTTAAATGCATTGGTTTAAATTAGGTTACTGCAACCTCTTTTTTAATGCAAGCAAAGTCTGAGTTAAATGCTTTTATCAGCTTGAGAAGGGAGACTGTCATTATCGGTGTACCTTGCAAGAGGTATGGCTTACTTTATCAATAAGGGAAGGACTGAGGATTAGAAGGTCCAGAGGGGCTGTGCTGAACAATTGTTTTCTGTAACTGAAGAGGGGGGTAAACCCAGACTGATTTTTGTCTGGATGGACTTGGAACATTGTACAGCAAAAGGCTACAATTAACAATTTAACAGTCATTAATTGGAAGGTGTTCACAAGGACTGCCTTCTCAAAATTAACTCTGAAGTAATGAGAAGTCTACAACTTTGCATCCATTCATTCACTACTGGAATTCATATTACAGATCACTGTTGTGTAAAAGCATTTCTCCTGGAAGTCAGTAGACCATTCTCCTGAAATAATTATTCACTACCAGTTCGAAAACAAGTTTGTGCGTGAGATATTGCACCAGGTAATATTAGGATGAATTGGAGTAACAAAAGCCACAGGGCTCTGCACACTAAGGAGCTTTCACAACACTTAGCACCGGTAACCTCATCAGCTTCTCGTAGTTTCCAAAGGGCATTTAATTTCTGGTGTAATCCTACTCAGGCTCTGTTTAAGTGGAACACATACATGAAGTCAGCCTGTAATTTCTAGTATTGATAGTTCCAGCAGGGTTCTTGAGCTGCATTTATGTAGACACTGAAAGCAAGCAGTGACACAGACCATGCACCATCCTTGTGGTCTTCACTTGCCCGACATAGGAGAATTCATGTTTTTTTCAAGGAAGTATTCTGTGCAGTTCCACACAGCTGTATCACTGAACTTTGTCTCCTGTTCTTAAAAAATAAGTCACTATAAACTACCGTTGCAGTGCTTTTCTTCCTTTTTTTCTTTTACTGATCATTCTAATCCCTAGCCTGCAGACATTGTTAGACTTCTAATGAAGGAGTGCAACATCTTTGCCAGCAATTTTTCTTAAGCTCAGAGAAAATAACTCAACACTTCCTATTCTCATGGCACTGGATACTGCATTTGGTGGGGAAAACTACACTCTCAGAAATATTTCCAGCATATGTATTTTTGTATTTACCTTCAGCTTCGCATAATAAATACCTCGGCAGGGGTGGCTTTTCCATTTTAGAGAGAAAACATAAGTGGATCAGATATTGCATTACAAAATAACTAGAAAAGACAGTCTGTGTGCATGTAAGTTGTTTCTCTGCTTAACCTTACCTAGTGTAAACAGTTTTCCAGTACGAGATTTGGGGGTTTGTATGTAGTTTACATTCCCATAATGCATATCCCAAGATTTCCTTAGCATGTGCAAAGGATGACAAATATCAGTACTTCATACAACTATATTTAATAAGTTATTACAGAAAAAAATAAAGTCCAAACTACAAAGTTTAAGCAGTTGTAAGCAATAGCAGCATTGAGCTCCATGTTTAGTCACAGTACTGCAGTTCCATACAAGCATTAGTCCAAGCCAAAAAGGAAGAAGCCTTGTTAGAATTACTAGCAAAAACAATCTAGGAGAACATGTAATAAAAGATACAGTACATTTAAAATTAGTTGAAAAACAAGTACAGAGATCTTAGCTGTGAATGTTCTAAAAGTTATGTCCATTAGTTTGACAGTAAAATTACAAATATCTAATACTTTATACCCCAACAGAACTATATCCAGGAAAGAAAAAAGAGCAAAAATTATCTCTTATTAGCACCCTGGTTTTCCACTTACTGATGAACTTTTTCTCATGTGAATTTGAGTGTGTCAGAATTACGTGACCAATGTGATTTCTGACCAGCTACCCATTTGGGGTATAGAGTAGTCACTAACATGAATATAAAATACTCTGTGGTATGATAGAACACTATAGCAGCAGAGATTAAGAAGTTTGTCTGTTTAAAAAAAGAAAGGAAGGAAGGAAGGAAGGAAAAGAAAAAGGGTTTTTAGCTGACATCATACAAACTAGCATAAAAGCAACTACATACAAGCCAGATTAAACAAAAGAGACATTTCTACAAATCTGTGACTAATCTTTCACTCATACCTTGCAAGTAGAGATGTCACAATACTGAAATATTAACATGGGAGCTTTTCCCAGTTAAGCGCCTTTTTTTTATTATTTTTATTTTTTTTAGTTTTTTTTTTTTTTACTACTCTAACAGATAGTGAAATCAGCAAAGTTATTTGCTAACTGCATATTTGCAATACAATTTGTTTTAGCCCATGCCTTGCTAGCAGGCTATAAAATACAAGCATGTCGGCAGAAATATAAGCATAAACTTTGTACCACTTAGCAGGAATTTTTTTATTCCCTCTTCATTCCTTAATCTCCTTTGTTCGCAATTTGCGTACATTCCAACCAGTAGTACCTAATTTGAGTCTAAATTTTACTTCACTATTTGATCTAGTCTATACATTACTTACAGAACTGAACACACAGAGGATACACAATAGACCAACTCTGGGCACGTTCCTTCCCACAAGTTACCGACGAGCCACTCTAACGCTCTAGGTTAAGTTAGTCTAAAAGGTCATCAGTAGCTTGTGGAAGCAATAATTTTGTCTAGAGAAAGCCATTGTATGCCCTGTTTACGCAACACCAGTTTTAGTCTGGATTGTTTCAGGTGCCAGAACAGAGAGTCACTGGCTTCAGGAAGGGGTTTCTTCTGGCTGCACGGGGAAACAAAGGTGATGTGAATGGAGGCGGAAAGTGTTCTGATACTGGCCCTTGGTATTGCCAATACAAAAGAAAAAAGGACAAAGACACAAGAGAGGCAGAGAAGAACGGAGAAAGACAAAGAAGCTGAACGGATGTTCAGAGGTGGTGGCAATACGGGGTTACTGCATTGCTACCAGGAAATGGACAGAGAGTATTTTGCATCAACTGGGCAGCCACCAATGCCGTGTGGTAACCGGGTTAGAAAATGGTGTGGGCACCGCCAGTCTGCTCCACGCTGCCACTGAGAAACGCATGCAGAGAGGAAGGTGTGCAGGAAAGGGTCAATTTCATTACATAAATAACACGGTGGCAAAATACAATGAACAATAGATATTTCAGGAGGTTCAATCTAAGGCTACCGAAAAGAGAGTTTATTGAGTTCATGACAAAAAAAGTAATGAAGAATTATGCTGAATGGGCAGGGTCAAAAACCCATTGGTTCAATAGATTTAGTTCCTTATAACGGCAATAGTTTCATCAACACTGGTGGTGTATAAATCTAGACAGCGAACTGGTACTGTGACATCCCTATTATCTCCCTAAATCATTTTGATAAAGGAAAAGGCTTTTCAAAATATCACGTTTTTTCTGCTTCATTCTGTCATTTTATTGCCCAATTCTTTGTTACAATTTTCCAATCACTTTACATAACCAACCATTTTCATCATTGCCACACTATTGTAAACCACATCAGCAAGTTAATACATAAAGCTTTGCATTTCAAAAAACTAGACACTTTAGTAACAATATTACAAAGATTTTAGCTTCAAAAATAACTGAAAATGAAAAAAATAAACTTTTAAAGAATCAGCATCATAAAATTAATTTATTCCAAGTAAAAATACAAAATAATATTAATGACATTGACCAGATATGAAAGTCTCTCCCAGAAACAACTATATTAATGGTTGAGAAAGCACTCCTTAAAGAAAATACGAAATAAAAATGAAAAATATGTAAATATGTTTAATTTTTTTCTTAGCAAAAAATCTTTCTAAAAATAACAATGAAAATTTGTCTCAGTACAAAGGCTACATTACTATTGAAAAAATACCAGCATGAAGAAAAGGTACATATTTGACAGTAGAAAAATGATTTTAGTGAATCACAATGTCTAAAGTCTGCAATGAAAATAAATCTGCAATAAAGATTTATGCCTTTTTTCTTTTCATTTTTCTTTTTTTTTATACAAACAGTACAAACAGTATTGCACATAACAACAAATAGTCGAGGTTAGGTTAGCCTTCAAAAAAATCGACTAGTTCAAGTCTCACATCAGAAAAGGCCACAATAGGACCTGTTGTACCCAGGGGCTTCTTAGTCAAGTTGCAGTTCAGAACTCCATATTTTAAAAAATAACTTTTTTTGAAGGACCCTCTTTTAATATAACATATTAACAACTCAGGGGCACATTCATTTACAAAACAAAAGGGAGCATGTCATAATTTAATAAACTAAAAAAAGTTCTCTTTAAAAAAATACAAACAGAAGAACTCTCACAATTCTGGTCAGTCGTGCATAATCACACTTGATTATAAATATACAAATTAAGGGAAAATATTTTTTCACCTTCTATTCACAACTTTCAGCACCAAATGGAGTTTGCGTTTACACCTGTTCTCTATGATGATTTTGTTTCAGATTTAATCCAACATTATGCTATATTGTACATTTTTCCAGCTTCTCTCTCTCTCTCTCTCGCTCTCTTTCTCTCTGGGGGTATTTTTCTACATGAAAGAGGGGTATTTCTTCAAAAAGGTTTACTTCTTTCACATAATTAGGTAGATTTCTGTAGGTTAGCTATGATCTTTAATATTACAGTTATAAAGCTCTAACTTCTTCATTTTCAAAAAAACTCAAATAAGCATGAAAAAAATAAAGTTACCCATCTGTTAAATCATTTTTCTTGCAGAATTAAATTAATATATATTTTTCTGAATAAACTTACTTAGAAAATATCATTTTCTTTCCTATATTTCAAAATTGAGGTATTGCAAAAGATCATGTCAGTCAGAAAGCATGCCTTTTTCTTTAAAAAAAATCATCAGCCGACTGTTGAAAACTGTCTAGATACAAAAAGTAGTGCATAACAAAATGTCTTGTACAGATGAAAAAAAACAGAAAAGACACCTGGGCTGGGAAAAGCAATATCACAAAACCGCCCAGAAGTAACTTCAAAAGGGATAATTATAATAAGCATTTGAAACCAGTAAAAAACTATTTTTCTTTTTTTTTTCTCCAAAAACAGAAAAAATCCTTTCAAAGCCAATACTCGCAACTAAACACTGGGAAAACCAACTTACTAAATTAGACACAAAGAAGGACATCACAACAAACAAAACCCAGAACATTTAAATCTACTATGCGGTGTCATATCCAGTCAGATTGTCCCCAGAACTGCAAAAACGAAGGAGGAAAAAGAAAAAAAAAAATAGTGTACACATTCTCACAATCATTAGTATACCAAGTGTGTTTATATTTATATGCTATCTGCAGCCCCATAGTTCATGCTAAAAAAATGTCCACTGTATTAGCAGGTCTTAATTGTATTCAAGCTTCACAGGATACATCCAGGGATTAGAGAGATAACGCCACATCCACAGAGCAGACATCTCATGTTACTTTTATATGCAGACATTTCTTTAGCACCACTTTTTTTCCTAACTTCCTTAAATGTGCCTAGTTTATTAGTTTGACAGACTATCTAATCGGTAGTGTATGTACGCTAACATGAGCTCTTTGGTTTTCTGGACAAGGTCTGCAGCTACGGAAATGATGCAAGCATTAGGAGAGAGATTGTTATCTAAGAGCTCATTTCTGTTTATGTACCTGTTATGAACTGTCAAAAATGTGTTAATGTCGGATACAGAGGCTTTAACAGTTAAGTTTGATCACAGTACTAGACATAATCACTTTACTATATAAAATAAATTGCACAATATATAACAGAGCACCGCAAAGTACTTCATCTACCATCCACAAATTGGTTTTAAGAATATCCTACAGCTAGTTTTTATATTTGTTGTAATATAGGTCATTCTGTAATGGGCTGATCCTAATTTCAGAAGCATTACATTTACTGAGGCATGCCTTCCTCCAGTCAGTAATCAACTTTTTTTGTTACTGAGCATTTTGTAGCCTACGAAGATTCATAATTTGTGCATTGTGGGCAGGTTTTATATTAGACATATATAAAATTTATTGCATGCAGCAACCTGATTAAGTAAACATGCAGTCAAAAAATATTGACCTTCCTTGGAAGCTTTTCTGTATGCTATACTGATCTCCTTTCAGCAGCCATCACTATTTTAATCACATATTCATTTTTAATTGATACCCTAGCCTGAATAGAGTATTATGGTATTAGTAATACCATTTTAATAGCAGCAAAAGCTATTGCAGCATACATTTACATAACACTAAAAGACCTAACAAAACAAAACAAAACAAAAACCCAACAAAACAAACAAAAAAAAACCCTCAGCAAAACAAAAAAAAAAGTCTGATCCAGCTTATGAGGTATCATCCTTAAAAGTCAAAATGGAGAGCAACTAAAGGCTTATTTTCTTTAAGGGTTATTACTACTCTAAATGACCCAAACTAATGATTGCTGAATATCTGTTTAAGTTTTTGCTACATCTGCCACCTACTTGTGAATATTACCTTTGGTAAAAGTCATCTGCTAGGGGCAAGTCTAAATTTCTGAAAATAAGTGCATGCTCCAGTTTAAAAATAAAAATAATTATAATTATATTAAAAAAATCTTCATCACATACACATCAGCCCAGTGAAGGCTGATGAGAATGGCAGTCTACATAATGTCACTAGTGACAAGTCTTGTGTAGGAAATTAAGGTACCAAGCAGATGTTTTTGTGAATCAAAGTGCAAAATCAGTACAGTTACACTCTGCCGGTTCGTATTATACTGGACACTGAGTTCAGTAATGTGACTGTAAATAATAATAATAGTAATAAAAAGACCCATATCTTCATTAAAGTCGAGGACGAATGCACAGATTTCCAGAACACTAAGCCCTGAGGCAGCGCTCTCTTTTCACTCAATTTTATTTACTCCAGTACTTGTTGCTGGGCGAGGCCTGGGGTTCAGCTCCAGCGGAACGGGACGTGGCGGGGCCGGTCGCCTCCCTCCTTTACCAGTGGTTTGTGGAACTCCCGCCCAGCACGAGAGTGTATGCTTGCCCAGCAGTATTCACAGTAATACTGCAAACAGGTAACATTGGCACAAAAGAACGGAGCAAATTTTCCACCACAGCGAGTGCCCTGGCATTCATCACACATCTGATCATCCAGCACGTATGGCTTCACTTCCACCTGCACCAGGAAGAAGAAGAACAGCTGTAAGGAGATCTCATAGTTTTGCTAAGCATGAACAGAAAAGAAGTAATATTTTAATTATTTTTGACACTATTGAAGGTTTTCAACTGATGCAGGACTAACCCAAGAGGTTGGTATTCGAATTTTCATACCAACCACTTCACGTGACAGAAAAATCTCAAGAAAGAAGGGTCTCCTTTTGTAACTTTTTCGTGGAAAAGTGAGGTGTGGGAAAGTACTAAGATGGACGTACGGTAAAAATAGCATCTGCAAGGATTTTCCCACTGTCTAAGAAAACTCCAGGATTGTGAATACAGTTGTTATGGGGGTAGGCCATGAGAACAGCATTTGGAAAGAAGAATTATAAAGAACAAAATTATATTTCTAAACTTCAGAGGTCCGGTGAGTTTCAGTTTCTTTTCCAGAGAATATTTTTTTTCCTTTGGTTTTTTTGTGAATTGCAAGACCCGGGACCAGACTAATAACGGATTCAAATTCAATAAAATTATTTGTATTAAATACTCTTAATTCTGTAGGCAAAAATCATTATCTAAAGATTTTTAGCTCTTGAAGTGCAACAACATGTCACAGTAATTCCAACTAGGGCCTTGCCATCAATTACAAACAGGCTGGAGAGCTGATGACTTTTGTCCTACAGTCAGTTGTAAACATCTTGGGGCTGGAACGCTTTTTGTTTTTAAAGCACTTGTGCCAAACACAGCAGGGCTGATGGATGACTAGACACTTGCAATAATGCTATTACAGGACTTGACAACATGTAAGTTCTTTCCTGTGTGTCTGTTCCTATGAATCAAGTCATGCCTTCACATTTAAATTGAGTGCTCATTCATTCCCGGGAAATCATTAGTTCATGCATGTATAATTCTTACAGCTCTATGATGCTATTTATAAAGTAGCTGAAGGACAGTCAACTGCATTAGAAGACACAGAAAAACTGAAATACACATTTATTATAAACAATTTTGCTGTAAGTGCACAAGTTCTAGTCTGGCACAAATTGTATACTGCAAGGAAAACCTGACTCCAGTAACTACACTTAAATACATACAAAGTTAAAGAAACACTGAATGAGATATTAAGCAGAAAGACAAGAAACAGTCCACAAAAAAGCTTTATGCTGTATTTTACTTCAGCTTATCCTGATCACACTTCAACAAATGTAACTCATCTGAAGTAAAGCTCATACAGTGAGTGGTATTTCTTGCCTGTTTAACAGCTAGAGCTGTCAATCTATTTTTTTTAATTACACCGTGCTACTAGTATTGCATGGAACAAGTCTGAGTAACTGCCATTTTGCATATCAGATGCCATATCACTAAAATTAGAAGCACCATGTAAAATAAAACAGCACTGTCTCAAATTAAGTTGGAAGAAAGCAGGTCCAATGTCCAACACAGTTCTAGATCCCCACCCACTCACATTTCCCAGGCATGAATTGCGAAGGTCTGAAATAGAGTCTCTCACTCTCTCATGTCTTTTCTTGCTTTGGTTACTACTGAAATAATTTTAAGAATATATGCTATGCAGTTCAGGGATTTCAATCTATTAGATTTAAAAACTAAGATTTAAGGACTTATTAAGAGACTTCATATTTCTTCAAACTCATAGATAAACCTATTAAAACCAGATAAAAGATAATTAAATAAATTATCAATCAAACAAGTTAAAAAAAATTATTTATAAAAAAATTACTAGCTAGCATCTTTTGTGGCTCTACCCTAAAGGTTAGAAAAAAACCCCTTGTAAGCATGGGTGGTATATAAATTTCAAAGTGTTCAACATATGAGTGAGACTCTTCTCAATCTAAGATTTTTCAGAATTCAATGGACAAGAAATCTCTAGGAATAGCTTTGTCTTAGTTAATGTAATATGGTGTACAGCACCATAGAAAAATTGTTTGAGGATTTATAACTCCATGATCTCCTTGAATCTGACAAAATGTTCAACTCAGATTTTTAATTGCAGCTGTGTGGATTTATATGCATAGTGCACATAACAGACACACCCAATACCTGTTTAACTGACTTCTGAGGAAACAATTTATACCACATTAAGCAGAAAACAAGCCACCCCCACTGGAAAAATACTTAGCAGCAGTGCATTCTGTATGTTCTTTTGAATAATTCTAAATTGCTGGGCCCTCAAAAACATGGGTGTTGTTTCTATGTGTAATCAAGAGGTGAAGACAGAAGGTCTAAAGGAAAAAAAACTTGGAAATTAGGTAATGTTTTCTTTTAATGTATTCAACTCAAATCTAAGTGAACTTCACTCTATACTTGGAAAGCCCTTTAGAAACTAGGATTTCATATGGACTGAACAAAACCAAGTAAATTCCCCCCCTTCTGCCTATCAAGCATCTCTTGGCATATGGTTTTACTTAAATAACGTTCAGCATCACCTATTTTACTTAAAATAAACCTCTGCTTTAGGGACATCAAGTCTAGACATACACTACTGACAGAAAATGGTGCCTTGTAACAGCAGAAGTGTCACAAGCTATATAAGTAATCACCAAAATAAAAGTTGTTGATGCAGAATGAGCAAACATCTAAAGGAAGAGAAAGAAGCTGGGAAATGCTGTGGAATTTGACCTACAGAATTCAAAACAAAACCAAGAGCACATTTTCAAGTTTTAGTGTTAAACAGCTATTTAAGATGTCTGAAATATTTTTTCCACTCTGCTTTAGATGTTTAAATAAGCTGTTAAAAAGTTGATATATGACATCTGAAGAACAGAACCTACAATGTTCTCCAACACAATGGTAATAATACTGATTTTAATTTCTGTACAGTTTTGTAACAACCATTCTGTTCCATGCTGCTTTACTTACCCGTTTATCAATGTCATTATGTTGGAGCTGGACAAAGCGAGCACTGATAGCAGCAATATAGCTCTGCTGGTTGGAGAAAGCCACTCTGCCAGCACCTTTTGGATACTTCAACTCTGGGTCTGTATCAATGCCAGCATAGCAGACACCTCCATACAAACGGTCCATAATCATTGCCAATTCAACTGCAAGAAGTCAATTGTTAAATATAATAGATTTAACACAGATAACAGTGTTGCATTTGGATTGCTCCATTTAAAAAAGCACTATTTGCCTTAGCACACTTGTCTTCCAAAGACTAAAACTGCAAACAGATTGAATCAACTCTACACAAATTATAGTAAATATAAGGCAAAAATCAGAATCTGTAAAATGAACCTTGGTGTGACTGAAGCGTGAAAAAAATGCAGAGTTACACTGTTAAAGGAGGTATCAGATCAACTAGAATTTACAATACTGTAAATTAAAACTCTGGTATTTGGCATTAGGTAGCTCCAGCCAGGCTTCTTAATGCTAGTTTGCATTTAAGATCACTTAGAGATATTTCTATATTTAGAATCTGATATTTTGCCCTAAGTTCTAAGGTTCAAAAGACATTAAAGAGGTGTTTAACATTTGAAACAAAAATCTGTGAAACAGCAAAAGTTACTACACGTAAAGAAAACCTACATTTTCGGTGCAACTTAAATTAGTATTTGGGTGGAACATTATCTTACTCATGGATCTTTTAAAATGGTTTGTTGCTTTTTCTGATACTAAGAATAACTGAAAAGAATTCAGAAATATCATTCATAAAATAAGACAGGTTGAGTCATGGCTGAGGAAACACACAGAAGGAAAGTTAAGGGAAAGAACTGAAGGAAGTAGAAAAGAGGCTGAAGAAAGCAGAGAAAGGCATGTGAACCGTGCAAGGACGTATGGTCACTGAGCCAAGTTCTCTGTAAAAGCTCACAGGCAAACAAATGTGTCAGATGGACAACACAAGACACTGGGACCTGCACAGGCCCTGCCAAGTCAGCCATTTTCTACTGCTAACGTGTGAAAACACTTTCTGTAGCAAGTTACAAGTTAGTTATGCAAAATAAAATGAAAATAACCAAAAACCTATTTAAATCCTTGTTCTCACAAAATTCTGACTAGTAAATTATACATAGAATAGAGATAATTTTAAATTGAGTAGGTATCTGTGTTTGTATAAATTTGTGTGTGACTCATCCTACCAAACCAGGTAATACTCTTGCTCCAAACAGTAAGGAAAACCTATCGGTATAATGCAGTCCCTAGTAGATTCTTCTGCTTTCTAATGATTTGGAATCATCATGGGGTAGTGATCTCAGAAAACAACAGTACAGAATAAACATCAGCAATACTTAAAGACATTTACAACAGTAGTTCCACTAAGGTACTCTTGCCAATGGACAAAGAATACACAGGATTCCAGGGCAAGGAGACCATGCAGTGCTCAGACATCTTAGGAAAAACTTCTGTACCAGATCTTTAAAGCTGCAAACAAGAAAAACTGGAAACTGTTTGGCTGCTTCGGAGAAGTTAACTATTTAAAGGCATTAGTTTTCAAATGTAACGCATTTCAAATGCGATCCATGACAGGCCAAATGACATACAGTTTTATAAGGACTATCATTAGAAATGAGGTAATACTTAATTGTTGCTATTTACATAATTACCATCTTACAACTGTGCCTTATTTTAAGATGCAGAGGGAGGTGAAAGCTGCCAAGAAACCTTGACTAGGAGAAATCTTGCTGTCTGCAGTGGCTGGGGGACCTTGTGTACAGCTTCCCTAATGACTTAGCATTAGGCAAAAGATAAGGTGAGGAGCTTAAGTTCTAGTGGGCTGCAAAGTGGCTGCCAAAGGAAAGTGAGAGCTACAAGGAAACCTGATTCAGAAGTCTTTCTTCCAGACAGTGACTAAGAGGTCTTGCCTACTACAGTCCTGGAAAATGAGGATTAGGGTTGAGCGGGTGAAGAAGAGAAACCATGTAGCTGCCTTGGAGTGAGCGTGGAGAGGGACTACTAAACAGAAGTGAGGGCTGCCGAAAGATCTAGCTAGGAGAAATGTCTTGACTTGCTTCATGACTTTGTCATTGGCTCACCAGAAACGTAAGGGTTAGGAAGAATGAAACAAGTGTCGAGCTACAGGTGGGAGTGGTGCTGAAAGGGGGCCTTCAAAACAAAATGGGGGCTGCCAGGAGATCTGGGCTGGGATAAATCTTTCCTCTGGCCAAAGGCTAAGGAGTCTTGTCTATGGCTCTGCAAATGAAAGTGAAGAAAAAGAGTTAAGGGTGAAGAAAAAGAAACTGTGGGAAAAAAAGCTACATTAGGAAAGAGTCTGGAACATGGTCTTCAGTGTGGGGCCATGAAGAGACCTGGTTGGGAGAAATTTTTTTCAGGACAATAGCTGAGAGGCCTTGTCCATAACTCCATGAAAAAATCAGGGTAAGGGTTGAATACAACGGGAAAGAGACATCATAGAGTTGACGTTGGAATTGGTTTGTAAAGAGTCTGGAAGAAGTTTGTCTTCTAGTCAAAGGAAAGGGGAAATTGTCTGCATCTCAGCAAATAAATGCAGGGTTAGAATTAAGATGGTCTACATTACAAAAAAAATCAGACAAGTTCTAGGATATTACGCAAAGTTGGGGAAAACTGATTTCTACTGGCAATCCTCACTAGTAACCTATTTAAAAGGCAAAAAATGTTCACGGTTTTCATTCTGCAGACAGGAAGAGACCTCTTGGCTTACAAACCAAGCTGTGATCTGTGGAAAAGACATGTATATTTTCTGTTCTTTTACGCATATCTTTTCTACTTAATCTGGAGCCCCCTACTACATGCCCTACATTTTCCTTCTACTCACCAGCTCGGAGGGGCCGTGGAACTCCTCCAACAAAGATTGTTTTTCTTGGATCCAAAGGCTGAGACCCATCCATCACAAAGTCACTGTCACTTAGGTTCCAAGGTCGAATTTGCACCTGTATTAAGGACTCTTTTTAGTTGAGGAGCTTGGCCACTTAATTAAAATCAAGAAACTGCCAAATCTTTCTGTAATTAAAAACAAAACTTTAACTTTGTGAAAACAGTAAATTGGGGGCATGAGCACCAAAACAATGTGAGAATATTGCTTATATAAGTGTCCGAAAGAAGGTGGACAATTCATTTACCACCTCTAGAGGCCAGGCTTGAGTTAAATTTCATCATTGCAAACTCCTACCCTCATTAATTCCCTGCCCCTAATCGCCATTATAGTAAGAAATCTGTGAAAGGTCTTTCAGAACATTTTACCTATCTATCTGCAATTACAGTTGCAGTTTGGGCTTCTGGTTTTCCTGAAATCACATCCAGTGATCCACAAATTTTAAAGCACTGATAGGAGTGGAGATAAAAATAATTTCAGTGCTTGGATACAAAAAGGGTTTGTGTGAATGCCAGTTGATAAGAAATCTTCAGATTGTACAGAAAAAAAACCACTCAGAAGTTATTTACACAGAGCTGTTCATCAATCCATTTTTTTTTTTGATTCGAGAAATCACGCAAGCCCACTCCCTGTGCTGTAATCTTGGGTTGTTCTTTCCTCTGTGCAAGATTGTCAATAATGGTTTTAAAAGGTAGCATGTTTTTTATCTTCTCTTACTAGTCTGTAGTTTTCATCTAATCTGTATATATCCACAGGCAAAAAAAAATACTAACATTAAAAAATATTGGAGATGTGAACAATAAGAACAGGTTACTGTATGTCTTCTGTTCTGCTATAGCTTTCTGCAGTACTTGACTTTACCTTGCAGTTTCTATGAGGTAAATGAGGCCTAAATTATAAATTGATTAGCTACTGCATGCATAAAAAAATAATAAATAATCACCCCAATGAAGTACAGAGGATATTTGATGCTTTCTGGATTTTAATTTGGCAGGGTTAAGTTTCTTCCCTTTGTCACAAAAGGCTTTCTTTTCTCTCAAATAATACAGACAGAAAATTACAATTCCATTGTTTTTACAGCTAGCATTCTAAAAGGATGCATTCTCCTTTTAGATACCAGAAGTGACCAAATATAAAAATTAATTGAACGTGGTATTTATCAGAAGAAAGCAAATGTGGAAGCCGTGTTATGCTGATACAGAAAGTCAAGTCAATATAAGAGCACGGGCAGAAACAGGAAGTGACAAGTAATTAGCTGTAAGTATCTTTTTTATTTATTTATTAACTGAAAGGAGTAACAGCAAACGTGCTAGCAACCAGCATAAGTGTCATGGCATAAGCTACTTACTGGTTTATCCTTGATTGTGGGACTTGACACACATAGATAAAGTTTCCCATCTTCTTCCAGACAGGCATCTATCAGAGCTTGTACAGAGCTTTCTTCCTGGAACAGCAGGAAGGCGTAACCTTGGAAAGGGTAAAGGCACAAGAAAGAAAAATAATAGATTAATTTCTAAAGCATTTTTTTTTTTTAATAAACAAACCTAAGAAGTGGATAAGATCTTCAAATTACAAATAAGTCGTTCAGGCTGTTACTTTGTTTTCATAAATCAAATTCACCGAATATATCATACCCTCACAGTACTGATTTCAGGATGAGACAAGTGTTTGCTTCATCTGAGGATGTTTATTTAATTAATTAATCATTTTGAGCAGTGAGAATACAGGCTGGTGAATAAGGGTTTCTTACTATCCAACAGCTGTATTGCAGCTATTTCTCAGTGGTATCTGCTGGTATCAGTGATTATCACATTACAATGGAAGCACCAAATTTCTACTTACTATATACAATTAATAAGTTCTAGAATAAAGGGCTAATTTTAGAAGAAAGTGGTCAGGTAAACAGAAAAATAGACTTTTATGCTTACATACTTCCCTATGAAAAAAATGCTCCCCTAAAAACAATAAACCCGAGAGAGAAAAAGAACATGTGCTGTGTTTTATTAGGAGTCAAAGGCCTGCTGTTATTGTTTATATTTAAATAAGGCAGTTCAAAAGAAAGAAGAAAGTCCACTAAAATTGTTCATGCGATTCAGAATTTTAAGACTTTAAATGAGCCAGTAAAATTAAGTGTGTGTAGCACTCAGCTCCTCTGAATGCAGCTGCCAAGAAAACTTTCTAGAGCTTTACTACATGTTGTTAAATTTGAATGAAGATTTGACCCAAGCAGCCTATGCTTCTGATAGCGAGAACTAACACAGCCCCCTCTGCCCTGAGCAAAGGCAGGTAAGGACTGGCTGGTGACTGGAATAGACGTGCCTGGTTGAGAGGATTTCCTATGAAGCATACACTGCTCCTTGGCCCACCATCAGTCAGTGCAGTTTTCTCACTCAGTGTGAACATGTTGGCTGTGATTGTTGTAATCTGGTACTTGTGTGTCTTACAGAATACCTCTTTCAAAAAATCCTCAGCAACTGGAGGCAGCTGGAGTTTAGGCAGGGACTGCTAGATTTCCTCTGCCTAAGATTCTTGACTCAAACTAAGCACATACATGATCATATTTACATATCAAACAAAGCCATACAGAGTCTGTTTGCTATTAATATAGTACTGACTTACCCTAATTTTTTACTGAGTATTGAGTGAAAACTGTTTGACATGTCCTTTTGAAATACCACACAACTCTGATTTATTTAAAAAAAAATCAATATAGACACTGAAAAAGTGTTCTCTTCTGTCGAGTTATCTATCAAACTACCTCTTACCCTACTGTCCCTATTCCTGTGTGACTTCTCAAAGAAAATTAAATTCTATGCAGCTGTTTGCTTTTAGAGGCAAAAACCCCCTTGCATTAACATCATTATAGCCCAGAACACACCTAGAAACACTGACTTGCCCAAGAAAACAAAAGTTTGATTACCACTCTTGCTAGCAAACAAGGAGCATGCATAGCTACAGTTGGAGTAAATGAAAGATACCGGTTCCAACAAAAAGTGAAATACTTCTTGAGTAAAAACATCTGTTTCCTTTGCAGCAGAAGTATTTCTCTTAAAACAGTCCCTTAAAAATATAAACATGCTTCAACATTCCAGTTTTAGATTTTACAAAACTAATTAGAGTATGAAAATAATCCCCTTGCAATCACTATCACTTTCAGCTTCATTTTATTTTCCATCCATGCACTCATTATATCTTCCCCACTCCATACCATCCCTTCTGATTACATGTAATAATTACAGCTTCATACAAAATTAACTTCATACAAATTAAAGTATCTTTAATTTAGCAGTTCTTTCAGCCTTATAAAATGCCCCAGTCAAAAACGTAGAAACTTGGAAAAGACTACCACGGCAATGACGACTCCAAAGCCAAATGATCTCCATTTAAGCCTCAGCCCAAACCTTGCTCTCTATTTTAGATAAATGCCTCATGAGACAAATTCACGGTGTAGATCATTCCAATACTATGACAAAACTTAGTAAGAATACATGTACATTTATGCATACTTTAAAAGAATGGTTTACAATACATTTAAATAGATGCAAACATTTAAGATTTCTCTTCTGGCCACACTGTAAGTTTTGAACTCTAAAAGAGAGATTTTTGTTCATTTTGGACTTTTATAATCTTAAACTATCAAAATATTGGAGATTTTTCCAGCATAAAGTCAAAATGAAAACTGGAAAGTGTTTCTCATGACAATTATTTAGCAAAAATCTGGACATCAGATTGGAGTGTAATCTTTACAATCTTAGGAAGCTTGTTCAGGCTTTTCTGGGTCATAGTAAGAGGTTACATCTGTGGTAGTTGGAGTTGACTGCCACTTGGGGGTACAGTTAATGGTATGATCATAATTTCCCAAAACAGTTAAAATTAACCAAATGAACCAAACAGATACTCCCAATTTCTCTAGACCTCTGACTAAAACATTCCCCTGCACGCTATGGGGTCCATGTGGGTCCACTTAAGACACAGGTAAGCAGTTCATTCTCTTAATCTAGAAAAGCAAGCAGGCTGGAGTAGCATGACATGATGTCCAGCATTACTTCAAAACCTGGTGACAGCACATCTATTCCAATGATTCAAGGACTTCTGCTACTGAAGATTAACAAAGATTACACCAAAATGAAAAATAAATAAAGAACAGAACTTCTGATAATATTAGGATCCCGTAGGGGTTGATATGGTCAAGAAAGATACTTGCCAAAGTTAAAGGTATTTTTACTCATTTTCTAGAAGCACATAGGGATGCAAAAGCCTTACATTCAGAAAGGTGCAGGTCCTTCTCATGAGCAGTTCTAGGCACTGCTGTTGCTGAAGAGTCACCCTCTTCCTCACAGTATCACTGTTTAGAGCCGCACTCTGAAGCAGGAGATGCACTTTGAACTCAGATTCCAGTATAAAAAAATTAAATTGGAAAATACCCATGCCAAAATTGACACTGCACAAAGAATTACCTCACACTATGTGCAGCTTAATAATTAAATAACTTTTTTTGTACAGAAGCAAAGCATCATTTTTAATAACTGCAGCCAAAATTTAAATTAAAACCAGCATGCCAACCTGTAAATTAACAGTGACTAATTTTCTTTTTTCTGTACTTAAATCTTAAGTTTGGCTATAAATTTACAAAACTCTAGGAGTATTTCTTCCTGAAGAGATTCTCAAAACTGTCTACTTCAGGCATTATATCCTGTCCTACAGTTTCTATTTCTATTCCTATTTCTGCTACACACAGTGAGACCTTAGCCTAATCCCCTCAAAGCTGTACTGCATGGCCAGCTCACTTCTAAAATTCAGAATGGTCAGTTACAAGGGCATCTAGATTTAAAAGAAAATTCATTTTTAAAGACAGTAGGTGAGGGAGAATTAATAAGGTGATCAACTTACAAACCAAAAATGTATTAATCCAAATAGTTAGAATTATTTAGCAGATGCTGAAAGTTGCTTCAGGTTCCCCAGCCTTGTGTGCTTCAGCACATTCTCCTATCTGTACTTCACATATAATATCATATCACTTAATGCACACATTGTTTCCCAAGAAGAAAGAGATTTGATGAATCTCAACATTTTAATGCTCCACAGCAGAATTTTGGTAGCACACTGTGGTAGCACATCGCAGGCAAACTCCAGCAGTGCTCCTTCCTTACCTTACCAGACATTCTAAAGGTTTGAGGGCTCAAGGGACTTCTCCTGACTCAGATTCCGCAAAGTAAAACAGGCAAGATATTTGAGGCCTCAGAAAATAGCAAGCTACCTGACAACAGCTGAATATTCTATAAACACAGAGCAGGAACGGTCCAGCTCCTCTGCTGTGGGTACAACGCATCACTGGAGTGCTGACAATAAACACTGCACCTTGCCATACTCTGGGAAAAGGCAACAATGTATTTTGATGTTACAAAAGTCACTATAACTTTTCAAAGGGTACAGCAGAGGGAGGATGAGGAGAAAATTAATTTCCCTCTGTTCTGAAGCATAACCTGGGAGCTCCTCTACCCTGAGCTCCAGGATTCATTACTTTATGGAAAGAAGTACAAGAACTGAGCTCCTCTGTACATCTGAACAGTGACACAATTTTCATATGAAAGGATAATTTAGTCCAGTTGGTCTAATTTCACTTAACCTTGCTGAGAACAAACTGGAAAATCTGGCATATGCGCTGTGTCCCACAAGCCTGAAACCAGGTTGTCACTTCAAATGAAAGATACACTTGGAACAAAACAGAATTGTTATAGTTTGGCAAATGTGTTTTTGCCAGCCTAGTTAACCTGGAAAAGTCTCTATTTCAATTAATATCAACATAGGCATATATATCTTCTCTAATGATGGGAACCTTTCTGTATTACTGGAAGTACAATTTATTGTAATAAGGCCTCAGCGACCTCTTCAAAAGAACTACTTGGAAAACTCATTAAGGTGCTTTTTCTGCCTTTCTTATAATAACAGATCTTGATATTCACCCTTTTATGTTAAAAACTGGCATGTTGGTACAAATTACAGGCAGCTAGCAGTGCATCATGCACGTGTTCTGCCCATTCCTCCTCAACATAATTCATTGAAAAGAACTACTTTGTTAGAAACTACTAGAATGTTCATTATGTCTATTAGGCATATGAGAGAAAATAAACTTATGGGCCCTGTAGACACCATTCAATTTAGCAAGCCATAGCTGGTAGAGTTTATCAGATTATCCAACTTCACGCCTGTCACGGCTCACCAAGAAAAGACTGACTGCACCTCAGAGCATTCATGAAGAAAAAATTAACATAATGATTAAAAAAGGCTTTTTTATATTCTTCTGAGCCTGGTAACACCTTCTTTGTACAACTCTATTGTCAGGCACAGTTTGTTGGAGTAAAAGGAAATCACTGATTGTGTTTTGTAACCCATGGGAGAAGGTAGGAAAGACGTTTGGTATACCAGGATTTTTATAAACTGAAAGGAGTGATTAATTATTAATGTCA